TAAGGTTCTTTCAAGCTCTAGGATCACCTGCTTCTGCCAATTACTGTCTTTAGTAATTTTCAAGCTTTCACAAACATGTTCCATCACTAACCAACAGTCAAACTTGAACGCCTCAATCTGCTGTGTGGCATCGCACTGTATATTTTAAGAAATTCAAAGAAGATGAGAATAAAGTCTCCACACTCAGCAAATTCATGATACATTAAGGAAGATAAAAATATAACATGCCTAAAAGAACTATATTTCTGAGGATAAAGTGATACATGCTACAAACACGTACAAGTAACAAGCTGGGAAAATCCAGAAGGCACAGAGAATTGTTGAGAGGGAAAAAAACCCAAAAACCAAATCAAAGATTCCTTCAAGGCACTTGGGGCAGATACTATCACTGCTTCTGCTACAGTCCTGAAAGCACTTACAGCAGAGTCTCTGTTTACGTTAGAAACAGAAACGACTACTTTTGTTTGAATCATTATTTGTAGGCTATTTCGTTCCTTTTCTCCCCCAAAATGCTTTCTATATATTAGTGGTCTTCAGCTTTTCTTGACTAGATTTCCTCTGAAATAGTTATAAAAATATCTTCCTCTCATATTTTTATGGAGATATGTAAAATTTTCATCATAAATTTAAAGAGCAGCAAAGGATTTCATTCCCTTTCAATTATAGATATGGATGTTTTAAAAATAAAATCATTATGCCAATACTTTAAATATACATAGTTAAGTCTACATAGTGCACTGTATTTTGATACCAACTTTAACTCATTTTTAAAAATACTAGAACCAGCACTTGTTTAAGAGTTGATGACTTTACAAGGTTTATTTTTTCTTCTTAAACTAATACTTCACTTCCTCACATAAGTTTATCTTATTATAGCAATACTGTTGTTCTTAAGTGTCTTTTATGAGTCATTCTATCATACCTCTCTGTAACAAACATAAAACACTAGAATTAAATTCTCTTCAATTTTTGTGACTATAAAATCCCAAGTATCAAAGTATTCTGAAAAGTGTATTAGTTATTAAGTACCAGTAATAACTGTTGCTAATTCATTATCAGGTAGAACTGGTGGCTTAGTAAGTGGGAAGTTGTGGTGTTAACCCAAAAGGCAGGAGGTTCGAATCTATCAGCTGCTCCAGGGGAGAAAAATGGGCAATCTCCTCCCCTGCAAAACCCAACGGAGGGACAAATATGAATCATTTCTGACTCATTAGTAATGAGTGAGTGAGTGTGAGTGAGTTCATGAGTTATTAAAAATCTTAGTTATTGTATATAAACTAATATAGACATGATATACTTTGATAATTCTAAAGACCATTAAAGTGTTCTTCTCTAAATTAGTCATATAACCACTGATATTAATTTTGGCAACCATTCTATTCCTACTTTTGATTTCTACAGATTTGAGCACTCAGAAACCTTGTTCACATAAATTGTTAGATGAAGTTAAGAGGAATTCTGGAAAAGCAGTCATTCAATTACTCAGACGCCTTTTGGAGTTTTAAGGAGAGTCACTCAATGAATGGTCTCCAGCATTAAAGAGCATGTTTAATAATCTACCAGCTGCTGAAGCAAAGAATTGGAAACTACCTACCTCATTTGCAAAAGGCTTTGTTACTTAATAATTAGATTCAGTCCCTCAAGTTTAATACTGGCAAAGTATTTGGGATTTTCTTTTGTTTGGAATGCAAAAAGATTTTACACTATGGGGACACCATGCTAAAATCAGATGAGAAATAGAGCATCTTTATTTTCTAATGTGAGAGGAAGGCAGTTCTGAAATGGAAATCTAGCAAGAAAAAAAATGAAACAGGTCTGATGATTTCTGAGCAAAAGAATGTGGAAGATAGTGATCTAGAAGCTGACTGTGTACAGGGACACTGGCCACCTTGAGTACATAAATGCCATGGTGTTTCTTCTCCGAGGTGTGGAATTTTATATTAAAACTCAGTTTGATATGTTATATTTTAAAATAGTGAACATGGTAAAAAAGAAGAGAATAAGGTCATGGACCCACTTACTGCAGCTGGAAAGCTGATGAAGCAGACGCTTAAAATGACCTCTGGCTGTACTCTGAACACAAACAATACGCTGTGCTCTATTAAAAGGAACGATAGTGAAATTTCAGAATACTGGGCAACAGAAGAAACAAACAGAAGTGAAGGTGGTTGGTCATTAGAGAAGGATTCTAATTCCTCATAAAAAGTAAGAGCTGCTGGTATTATCCTTCCCTTCTTCCTACATGAACACAAGATGCATGATAGACCTGTAGCAGCCATCCTGAGACTATGAGGCAACAAATAAGAGGAGTTCTGGTAGTCAAGAAGTTGTGCTGCCAAACCAAAAGTAGGCGGTTCAAGCTCACCAGCTGCTCTGTGGGAGAAAGATGGGCCATTTCTTCCCATGTGATTTACAGCCTCTGGAAAGTGGTTGGGGGGTCAGCTTACAGTTTCAACTAAAGCACATGACAATGTATTTTAAAAAGAGGAAGAATTATAAAGGAGAAAATAATTATGGCTCTTGAGGGTATTTTTAAACTGATCAACAAACCACAGAGCCCCCTTATGCAGGCTTGTGAAAAATAAACTCTCTTTGGTTTTAAATGATTATGCATTCATTTTCTATTAAATAGTCATGTGTTAATAAATCCTAATAGATAGTTTTATATCAGTGGATAAATGAATATTAGGGTTTGATGGATTATAAGTATTGTGGAACAGAATGAGTGAAAAGCAAAATGAAAGGAATGAAGAAAAATTTATATTCTGAAAATAGAGCCCAACTAGATAATTGGACCACAAGATTCACAAGTGAGAAGCAATTGAAAATAAAGTGGCCTCATTTGTATCAGGAGTTGAAGGAGAGAGGAATTCATTATCTCCTAAAGAGCACTGGTGGCTCAATGGTAAGCAATCTGGCTGATAACCCAAAGGTAAGGCAGTTTGAATCCACCAGTTGTTTCCAGGGAGAAAGACGGGAAACTTCCTCTGGTGTGATTTTCAGACACTGAAAAACTGCACAAGGGTCAGCTATGTGACAGTCAGTCAGCTACAATTTGACTGCACATAACGAGAAGATTTGCTTTATTCCTTCACAGGAGGTACGGAGTAGGAAAATGAAATTAACAGAAAGCTAAAGAAAATAATGAGAGCAGAGGCAGGAAGCTTCACTAGAATCTTCTCAATGTGAAAGATAACTAAGCTTTTGGTGAGCTAGTGGAAAAGGGAATAGAAAAGAAGGATCAAAATGAAACATTCTTTAAGAGACTGAACTAGCAGTATGTGAAATCTGAGGGAGTAAAAAAAAAAAAAAAGACCCTGGTGGTTTAGTCCTAAATGTGAGAGAACACAAGGAGACCTTCCGGGAAGCTCCTTGCATACTGATAGTTGAGTTTCTCTCTTAGGCTCCTCCCTCACTGATGGAGAACCAACAGGGAGACTGGTGTGCAAGGGATGTGGGGAAAATACAGTAAAGAATAATGTCTGGTTCTGTGAGAAGCAATGCTGCTGGTGACCTTTTCCAATATATTCTATTTTCAATTCACTTATGAATTATATGTATATAGTTATCATATATGTATATATGATCTATATCTATATATTGTTGTTGTTGATTGCTGCTGAGTTGAGCATGACTCATAGCAACTCTAAGAACAAAAGACCTGTAGCCTTTCTATAAACTATCATTGTTTCTCAAAGTTCATAGTTTCCAGAGGCATGTTGTTTAGGAAGTGGATGCCAATCCTGCTTCCAATAAATATATATATAAATATTATAAATGGCATTAGTTTATTCATAGAAAACTTTAACATTTTATTAAATGCACTTTTGGGTTAAAAAATTCTAAACCTACTTGCCTTAGGTATTTTGTTTTTAATCAGAACAGAAAATTAATAAGAAAATGCAAAAAATCTTTTTCTTGTCAATCTGAGACTATAAAGGTTGCTGTGTTTCTGACGAAGTCAGGAGAATTAACATCAATGAAATTATCTAGGGGAAATTATTAGGGGAAGTTTTATGTATCTTTATCCTACATCTGAACAATAATGTCTGCTTTGCACTTTTTAAAGAGAAGATTTGAAAAATTAGGATCTAATATGAGCATTTCCCCCAATAATTTAATCCAATAATTACTTGATGTCTTTATTTTAAGGCCTTTAAAAGTTCATCCCACTTCACAAGATACATAAAGCAATGAGTGAACTATGTAACACGTTTCAATTTTTTAACTAAGACAAAGTAACATACACAACCAGTGCCTAGAAATTTATTTATGAACTTTTCAAAGTCAATGCTCAACTGACAAACTTTTCAGCAAATTAACTTTTTGCTTAAGTATCTAACAAATTTCATTAAAGAATTTTAATTCGCCCTTTTCTTGCTAAATATAGAGATTCTGGTCATTTTCATGTTCTTCAATATTTTTACTAAGTACTGTGTAATAATAAAAGAGTAGAGAAGTGATGAGGAAACCAGTCATTCATTCTTCTTTTTGGTACTTTCAGTAGATTGGGAAGCAAAGCAGTGAGGATGGGTACCTGGTACTGTAATCAAAAAGTCTTCAATGTTTTAATACAATAAAATCTGTGAAAGCTAGAACCATCAGTAAAGTGGGAACCTGTCAGAAAAGGAAAACACACACATTTTCCACTAAAATGAGTGACAGTGATTGAAAAGTGCTAATAAAGCATAATGTAAAAGTTGAAAACTTGTTAAACCTGACAGAACAAAGACATCTATTGAGTTCAGGCTCTCACAGATTCTACTGTACATGAATTTCAAATTGCATCACCAATTAAATCAAAGTACAATTATATTTAAAATCTCTCTTTTAATTCTTGCCAAGAGTTTTATTTAAATTGTTCTTGCACAACTACCATTGGCATATGACACTGCATTTCTTAAGTACTAATTAAATCAATGATATTATCAATTGCTACCACTTTCCCCAAAGAAATAGAATACATCAATGAGGTTTTTAGAAATATAATCAGTACTCACTCACGGTGCTGAGAATCTGGGGAGAAGTGGACCATCCTCTTGTTATTGACTGGCCCAGGAGCCGTCACCTGCAGGGAAATGTAAAACCAGACAATAAACTACAAATGGGTTTGTAAACCCCAAAACCCAATGCTACCAAGTGGAGCCTGACTCATACTATGGCTGCAAATCTTGATGGAAGAAGGCTGCCTAGCTTTCCTGGAAAGCACCCAATGGGTTCAAACCATGAACCTGAACACGCTAAACACTGTGCCACTAGAGCTCCCTGAATTTGTAAAAGGTCAATAAATAATAGGGATATTTCCATTTGGGGTCATTCAAGCTAAGCCAGAACACAGCCGTGATAGTTAAAATCTCAGATCAAAATACATATTTCAAAGAATAGTTTATTTCCTGGTTAATAATAACTAGGGCTCTCTGGTGGCCTAGTAGCAAGGAGCTGCGCTGCAATCCCAAAGGCACGCAGTTTAAATCCACCAGCTGCTCCATGGGAGAAGGGTGGGCAACCCCCACCTCCAGTGCAATTTACTGCTTCTGAAAACCTGCCTGAGGGTCAGCTGTGGGTCGGTTCTGACTCTGTAGTACACATCAACAATAATAATGCTTTGTTTGGTCTAGTGTGGTCCTCCTGCTAGAATGTTAAGACTATTTTTTTTTAAATTTAGGTTGTTTATTTTTCATTTCAATGAATTATCTACAGAGATTTTGGGATTCCATTCATTCATTGTTGTACCCTTCTCCCTGCACAAACCCCTCCCCCCTCCCCCCCCCATTTGCTCCTCTCCTTGAAAAGCAAAAGAAAAATTCCCTCATTGGTACACAAACCCCCCCCCGCAACCTCCCCAAACCCCACCCCCTACCCCCAAATATAATCCACTCTGCAACCCTCATATCTCTCTTAAGAACTAAATCACTGAATATTTCTAAATACAGCTCAATGGGAGATACAGTTAACTTCATGTGAAGAAAAAAATAAAAGGTTTGCTTAATTACAATAGAGCTGAGCAAGATATTATAAAATAGTGATAAATAACACATTTGTCATCAATAATTCTTAAATATAAGTAACATGTATTATAAGGCACACATTTAAATGAATCAAAAAACTTAAATAATAGAAATAGGGAATAGTTCTTTTTACTGTCTCCCCTCAAAGTTAGAATTATTCATGTACTTACATGGAGCAAAAAAGCAAATTCATTGAACAGAAAAATATTTTACACCTTAATTTCTACATCAAAGGAAAAATATGATAAAGCTCAAATTTTTTTTGATGACTGAAGCTCTGTGTCACAGGGAGCATATGAACACAGCACAAAGTGTGAATGAGTTTACCACAACAGACAACACACAAACTTATCAGAAAAGGCTCAAAGTTAGTCTGTCATAATAATAAAATTTCTGTAATTAAAGTAGAATCATTTAGAGACTCGAAAAATTACAGATGGGGTAGCAAAATGCCTTGCAAGAGAAACCAACATTAAAAAATAAAATGGCTATGTTCTTGCATTACGTAGGTACAGCAAGCCTGTACCATGAAATTCCAAGAAATGCAAATACCATAAATGTGCACAGATGACGACATTAATAACCCTATGGCGGAGCACCACAGGTAAACATGTGGCTCAACTCCAGGACTACATCCTGCATTCATCTGAAAATGAGGTTTTCATGCTATTCCAGTGGGTATCCCTGGAATACAGTAATCCATTTTCTACACTGTGGCTATGAGAAAAGCCGACTGTGCCTATGTCATGCTTTGTTAGAGGTCCATGATCACATTATCTCACGGTGGACCTGACACTTTTATTCAGTTTACAGTATGTTCTATGTACAGGCAACTTATTTCCTTTGCCAGGGCTGCTGACAACCTTTTCCACACTATATTAATCTTGTTTACTGACTTTATCTTGGTACAAATATCAGAAAACTGAACTTTTTATCTCAGTGAAAAAATAAACAATGTGTTGACAGAAGCAGAAGCTATTTTCAGGACTAAAATTGCTTGTTTACCTGAAGCTATACTTATGGAAAAATGTTTAAGTTCATGCTCTGGCATGAAATACATAATCTGAAATTTAATAACTGAAGAAATTTCATGTACACCCATGTGATAAATTGCCTGATGAGAACGAAACAGCGGAATACAATAAAACACCATTTATAACTAATTTATACCATAATACAAATGTAAGCTTTCAATTCAGTCACAAATAATCATTGTATAGATTTCTCAGGAATCATATATGCATGTGTGTATATGTAAATATATTTTTCCAATTCAACAGCTGCAAACACCTCCTAAAAGATTTACACTGTCAAATCTATTCATTTAAATTACTTCACATATTGACTGAATATATATACTCACACACACATATATATATATACACATATACATATATATACACACACATACACATATATATAGTTGTTGACTGCCTTTGAATTGGGCACAACTCATAGCGAAACGATGAACAAAAAAGGCCTGATGTCCCTCTACAACTATCTGCATTTACCAAAATTCATAGAGTTTCCGGAGGTATGTTTTTCAGGAAGTAGATGCCACTAATATATATCTCTTTTCACAACTTCATAATAAAAAGAAGAATTACTCTTAAGTAGATCCTTCAAATGGCAGAATGAAATAAAAAAAAAAAATGCCTCTCAAAAGGAATTAACATTTTTAAAAATGTATCCCTTCTTGTATCACGTGGGTAACAAGGACGCGAGCCTACATCATAAAATCCTCAAAAATACAAATACTGCAAATGTGCACTGATGATGACATTAATGTTGTAGAAAAATACCTCTGAATTCTTTTATTGTTATTTAAGATCAGTTTTCTTACATTTTTAAAGACACACAGATAGGAACAATTTAATTTTTTTTTAAAATGGCACAAATCAATACTGAAATCCATACATGATGATTTTCTCCAGGTTAATTTGTACCCAAGGAGTAAACTATTCTTCATAATGAAAACTATATTAACCAGACTACAGTAAAATTTGAGAAAAACACCTTGAAAATTACTCAGCTGGTAAAAGTTTTGTTATACTGAAGTCTGAAAGTATTTTAAATGTTAAAATGTGTTTAATAGGATTGGTTGTTAGAACGCGCCAAAGTATTATAAATATTCCATTAAAAATCTTTTTGTGAAGATCTATAATTATTTCATTATTTAAATTTAAAAGTATTGCTTGTTAATAAACAATTTTCTTTTCCAAAAGATTCGCCTTATGAGGATTCCTGAAACAGAGAGAAGTCACAAATAAAAAGTGTCACCCTGAATGTAAAAAAAATCATGCAGAACAGATAACTAGAATGAAAGAAGAAATAAATTTTATTTGACAAAACTAGGCTGCTTTTAGATGCTTTCAAATAAACCACAACTCATAGTCATTCTATGAAAATTAGGTAGAGAGAGGTATTCTGATCTTCGGGGAAAAGATCTATGACCCAGTCCTTGTCTTTTGCGAAACCTCTGGAGATAATTATTTATCTATTTAGTTAAAACTTAGTGGTGAAAACCTTAGACACCAACATCATATGCCCTGAATTTTTATGTCGTTTATGAACTCTTTCTGAATCAATAGTGAGTACAATCCTCACTGAACTATGTCTAGGTGTTTCACAAACTTGTCTGTTCAAAGTGAGGTGGATTGAATGCTTGCTGTAGAAGACCAAGAGTAACAGAATGAACTACATCTCAACATCAAGAAAACAAAGGTCCTCATCACTGGGCCAAAAGGCACTATCATGACAGATGGACAAATGATTGAAGTTGTCAGTGATTTCATCTTGCTTGAATCAATAATCAACACCCTTGGAAGCAGTAGCCAGGAGAATAGAAGATGTACTATACTGGACAAATCTGCTGTCAAGGGCTTCTCCAGAATACATAAGAGCAATGATGTCACTCTGAAGACTAAGGTGCACTTGATTTAGGCCACAGTCTTTTAAAAAAAACCTTGCTGCACAACTAAAAGCTAAACAATGAAAAAGGAGACAAAAGAATTGTTGTCTTTGAGTTGTGGCATTAGAGCAGTGTACTGAATATGTCATGTACTGACAAAAGAACAGGTATATCTAGGAAAAAGTGCAGCCAGAGTGCTCCTTGGAGAAAAAGATGGTTTTCATATTTTGGGCATGTTGCTAGGACAGTGTATTCTTTGGAATGGGACATCATGCTTAGAAAGGTGGAGGGTCAAAAGAGAAGATCCACAGTAAGATGGATCCACATACTGACTGCAGCAGTGGACTCAAGTGAAGTCAGAGATGATGAGGATGGCACAGGGCAAAAGAGGTCAGGTTTGCTGTTCACAGGGCCATGATAAGTCATATTTAACTCAGTGCCATCTCACAACAACAATAACAAACAACATCTGTTTTCATGGTCTATACTTGTTATGTAAATTTGTTAAATTTTTAAATAACCTCATTATCTGTAAAGGAATGGATGGGCTCTAGATAATTTTCAGGTCAGTAATCTTTTAGGTTGTGAAATAAACTATAATCCCACAAGACCATATGGTTTTCAGTTTACAACTGACCTCATAATCACCCTGCATGATGCAGTACAAATGCTCTAAAAGGACTAGAAGTCTTTATAAGAGGAAACAGTGAGATTGGCGCAGCACAGGTTGGTGTTTAGGGCTGTTGTTCATAGGGTTGCTATGAACTGCAGCTGACTCGATAGCATGTAACAATAGCAACAACAGCAACACAATTCTTTTAGTAGATAGATGGATACAATAGGGAGCTTCGGTGGCCTAAGGGTTAAGAGGCTGCACTGCACTCCCAAAAGTATGCAGTTAAAATCCACCAGCTGTTCCACAGGAGAATGGGAGAAGGATGGGCAAATTACCTCTGATGGCCTCTGAATGAACACTCGCTGGAAGGTCAGCTATGAGATGATTCAAACGTAATGGCACAAAACAACAACAACATGGAAAGAATTGTCATTATCTATTAGTAGATCTACGGAAAGCAATTTTATAAATTCTTTTGAACACTGATTATATAACTTCCTTCAAAACAAAAAAAGAAGAGATGTCTTTATATT